GGGGCTGTGTCAGGTTCTGGAGAGGTACCCTCTGTCTCTAGGTCTGTGTCAGGTTCTGGAGCAGCACCCCCTGTCTCTGGAGCGGTGTCAGGTTCTGGGGCAGCATCCCCAGTCTCTTTCCCTTTGTCTCTGAATGCTAAGTAGAACAGGCCTATCAGCAACACTAGCCACTGTATGATGTCATTAGCATCCAGAGAAGATTTTAACCCTTCGAAAACTGGTGGGGTAGGCCCAAGGAACTGGGTGAAAGGTCGGGAGAAAATTTCCCTAGCTGTCTTTTTCTCCCAGTAGGTACCATTATTAAAGTAACACGAAAACCATCCAGCTGATGTGTGACAGCTCTGAATCCCTGAGCCCGCCGTCCAGAGGACGTTAAACATCCATGAATTCCTCACCTTATCAACCCACTAAACAAGCTGGATAATAGCCACAGTAAGCTTTAGTTATAGGACCTATATTTAGGTAAGGTGCAGCAAATGGGAGAAATATAGCTGTGACCACATGCCCCGCAAACCTGGGTAAGCTCAACAACATGGTTCTACCTAACAAGGTTTCTAAATCCAGCACACAGAAGTTAGGTTATTTAAGAACTGTTATTCCTTTTTCTTTTGGTTTGTTCTTTTTTTTTTTTCCCTTTTTCTCTCAGTGCCCCACGTTGGGTGGCCAAAATCTGTCTCGGTTCTAGAGGACAGGTGTCTGCTAGGGAGAGCAGGAGCCTCCCTTGGGATGAAAGAATGTAGACCCCCTCCCTCCGAATTATTATAATTTTGAAATCAAGGGCCCCTTAGGCAGAGATCTGGGGATAGGAATAACAGTTCTTTACTAGTATAACCAGGCAAACAAACAACAACTACAGCAATAACCAGAAAACAGAACCAGGGACCCCAGGACAGCCTTCTCGGCTGAAACGGGATGGAAGGGAGGCTTTGTTTGCACAAACCCTCCTCGGGCAGTCAGTCCAGGTGCTCCTGCAGGGCTCTGTGGAACGGTCGGCTGGAACAGCGGGGATGAGCTGAGATCCTGGGCCGGTGGCTGAGGTGTATCAACAGCTCCGCGGCCGTGCCTGGCACTGCCACACGTCTCGGTAGAACAGGGGGTGTGAGGCCACCAACAAAGAGGGGAGAAGGAGAAGAAGCAGCAGCTCCGTCTGTGTGATGGCGAAATTCCCTTCTCTCCACCGCAGCAGCTTCGCGACCCAGCAAACGAATGTCTCCCCCAAAGCCGAAGAAAACCAGCCAAAAACTGTCCCCACCCTCCTTTCCTGCCCCTTCCCCACCCTGGGCCCGGCCACTCTTTGTCCTTTCTCGAGCACCTACTAAATACCCACAGTTAGGTTGTCTCCGCAGCTAATGGGTAAAAATTCCACGGGCAGGCCAGAACAACAAAACAAAACAAAACAAAAAAAAAAAAAA